GGATTAGGTTGTGTAGTCAGTTCCTGGATTATTGACTATAGTTGATAAGGTTGATACTGTGAACCTTTTCAACAAAGCAGGAGAATTTGTCTCATGGAATTCTCCTCATGCAGTAAGTGGAAAATTAGGGACACTACCAGTGTCCGTGGTGACTACATGGCAGGATGGTGGTTGTGGGGGGCGGGCGGGGTGGGGGGTTCTCGGCAGCGGCGCTGCAGCCCAATCAATAACAACACAACTGGCACTGTTCTGTAACAGGGAGGGTCGAGGTGTAGATGAGCAGTAGTGATAGGAGACTGTCTAGTTAGAGGCACAGAGGTGGTTCTTTGGCTGCCATTGAGACTCCAGGCTGGTGCGTTGCCTCCCTGATACTATAGTCAAGGATGTCTGAATGTGCACATTCAGGGGGAGAGTGAGCAGTCAGAGGCTGTGGTCTGTATTGGTACCAACAACATAGGCAGAAAGAGGGATAAGGTCTTCAAAAGGAGTTCAGTAGGAAGTTGAAAAGCGGGAAGTTTTGGCTTGTTATTTCAGGATTGCTTCCTGTGCAATGTTCCATTGAGGCGAGGAATAAGAATTTAGTACAGGTAAGTACATGGCTAAAGAGTTGGTGTAAGAGGGAGGATTTCAGATATGTGGATTGTCGGAATGTCTTCTGGGGCAGGTGGGACCTGTGCAAGCAGAATGGGTGGCACCTAAACTGGAGGACCACCAACATCCTTGCAGGGACGTTTGCTCGTGTCACTTGGGAATGTTCAAACTAGTATGGCGGGGAACGGGAACCAGAGCAATAGGTCAGCAGGTAAAATGACCAAGGAGGAGAATGAGACAAAGGCTAGTAAGAGTAAGGTGAAGAACAAGTGGGCAAGTTGCTGAACATGGCAGGACTGGTGGTCTGAAATGTATGTTTTAATGCAAGGAGTATGACCGGTAAGAAAGATGAACTTAGAGCTTGGATTAATACATATAACTGATGTTGTAGCTATTATTCAGCCTTGGTTGAGAGATGGACAACACTGTATCTTAACGTTCTGGGATTTAGATGTTTCAAGAGTGAGAGGGGGAATGTAAAACAAGGTAGGCGTGCTGCATTATTGATTAGGGCGAATATCACAGCTGTACCGAGGCATGACATCTTAGAGGCTCATCTGGAAAGGCCCTATGGGTAGAGCTCAGGAACAGAAAGGATGCAGTTGCTTTGCGACTGTACGACAGACCTTTCAACAACCAGTGGGTTATAGAGGAGCAAATATGTGGATAGATTATGAAAAAATGTGAAAATAACAGGGTTGTTGTGGTGGGTGATTTTAACTTCCTGTATATTGACTGGGACTTGCTTAATGCCAGGTGTTTGGATGGGGGAGAATTTGTTTGACGTGTCCAGGACAGTTTTTTTCAAAACAATAAATAATAATCTGACTAGGGAAGGGGTTACTGGATCTGGTATTGGAGGGAATGAGCCCAGCCAGATGATCAAAGTTTCAGTAGGGGAGAAAGTACTAAATTGAGAGAAACCTAGCTACCACAATAAAGGTAGGGACTGGAGAATGTAGGTTAGGGGCAACTTTTTGACAGTAAATCCATGTCTGACACATGGGAGTCTTTTAAAGGCAAGTTGATTCGAGATTATTCCACCATGTTCCTGTGAAAATGACAGAAAAGAATGGCAAGATTTGGGACCTTGGACAATTTTAACTTTTTCAAAAAGAAAAAGGAGACATACGAAAGGATTAGGAAACTGAAGACAGATAGAGCCCTCGAAGATTACAAAGATACTAAGAAAGAACCCAAAAAAGGAACTAGGAGGGCTAAAAGGGGTCATGAAATATCTTTGACAAATAGAATTAAGAAAAATCCTGAGGCATTTTACATGTATATAAGGAGCAAGAGGGTAGCTCAGGAAAGTGTAGATCCACTCAAGGATCAAGGAGGAGGTTTATCCGTGGAGCTGAAATAAGTGGGGTGAGATCCTTTAATGAATATTTTGCATTAGTATTCACAAAGGAGAAGGATTTGGGGGATGGTGAGCCTTACGAAGGATTACGATATGTTGATATTCTGTGTCATGTCAATATTAAAAAAAGGAGGTGGTGTTGGGTATTTTTAAAAGCATTGAGGTAGACACGTCCGAGGACCTGATGGCATCTATCCCAGAATGCTGAGGGTGGCAAGTAGAGGAATTGCTGGGGCCATGTACAGAATCTTAGTATTCTCCTTAGTCACTGGAACGGTCCCAGAGGACTGGAGAATAGCCAACGTTGAGCCTCTGTTTAAGAAGGGAAACAGGATAATCCAGGAAATTACAGACTGGTGAGCCTTATGACAGTGGTAGAGAATTATTGAAGAAGATCCTTCGGGATCGGATTTACTCACATTTTGAAAAATCTGGACTTATTAGCAACAGGCAGTATATCTCACAAACTTGGTTGAGTTTTTTGAGGAAGTGACATGGATAGTTGATGAGGGATGGGCAGCAGATGTTGTTTGGATGGACTTTAGCAAAGCCTTTGACCTTCATAGCAGGCTGATACAAAAAGTGAAGTTATGTGAGATCTGCTCTGAGCTGCTAAGATGAATACAGAACTGACTTAGTCATACAAGAAAGAGAGTAGTGGTGGAAGGGTGTTTTTCTGACTGGAGGTCTGTGATTGGTGGTGTTCCACAAGGACCAGTGCTGTAATGTTTGTAATGCATAGATATAATTTTGGAGGAGAATATAGGCACCCTGGTTAGTAAGTTTGTGGATGACACAAACATTGGAGGAGCTGGGATAGTGAGGAGAATTGCCCGAGGATACAATAGGATATCGATAGACTGGAGACTTGGGCAGAGAAATGGTAGATGGAGTTTAATCCAGACAAATGTGAGGATGATGCATTTTGGAAGATCTAATATAGGAGGGAAGTATATAATAAGTGGCAGAACCCTTAATCGTATCAACATACGGAGAGATCCATGCACACAGGTCCACAGTTCCCTGAAAGTGGCAAGTGGATAAGGTGGTCAAGAAGGCATATAACACACTTGCCTTCGATTGGCGGGTTAGAGTATAAAAATTGGCAAGTCATGTTGCAACGGTGTAGAGCTTTAGATAAGCCACATTTGGAATATTGTGTACAGTTCTGGTTGCCACACAACAAGAAGGATGTGGAAGCTTTGGAAAGCATGAAGAAACAGTTTACCTTGTTGCTGGTTTGAAGGCTATTAGCTATGAGGAGAGATTGGACAAACTTGACTTGTTCTCACTTGAAGGTTGAAGGGCGATCTGATAGAAGTGTACAAAATTGAGAGGCATGGATAGTCAGTCTTTCTCCCGGAGCAGACATGTCAGTTACTGGTGAGCCAGAGTGCCTGTTTGTGTGCTGTATTGCTCTCCTTCGAAAGCATCATCTGCCTTGATCCTAACTCTGCTTCCAAAACCATCATCCTTTTCTCGTTAAACTTTTCGGGCTGAACAATTTCAAGGTTCTCCTCCCTGTCCTCTTCCAAAATCTTAAGTGCATCCAAAAGTAGTATCTCAGTCTGCATCAGCTTCCATTTGCCCATCCCCATAATTGACTTGCATGTATTGAATATATAGCACAGTGGCAGGCTATTTGGCCTAACTAGTCTGTAAAATAGAAAATAGTGGAATAATCCAGTAGATGAAGCAATCCATGTGTGGGGAGAGAGAGAGTGAAAGTGAGGACTGGACATAATTCAGTACAGACACTGGGCAGGAAACAAAATGACAATTCTGTGGTCAGAGCAAAGGCATAGCCTACTTAAATGATAAAAGTCATTATGATACAAAACAAAGGAGGTGGACATCTGCGACCTATGCTTGCAGTTACTGTCATGTGGGAATTTGAGGTCATCGTATGTTATGGGGTCATGTGTGTTTGAAGTGTCTACAGTTTGCTGAACTCATTCAGAATTCCTAAGCTTGAGGGGCAGCTGGAATAATGAGGCCATTAGGAACTGGAAAAGTTGACTAGAATGTACGTTTCAGGAGGTTACGAACGCAGAGTTCAGGATAATAAATTGATGGCCATCAGGAAGAGGAAGGAGGAGCAGAATATCAAACATTCTTGATTAACTCAGACATAAATACTTATGAGTTTTATCTCTAATTATGTCACTAAACACTGTCTCACCATGCATTCAGAGAAAAGGAAAACATGCATGAATTTCCAGTTTGCCTATAATGTGGAGTAGAACTATTTACGGACAATAGCTTGAACAGCCATATGAAGTTTTCTTTGTTTTAGTTTTGTTGATAGATGATGTATTACCTACACTTGATATAAAAGGGCCTGCACACAATGCACTTGGTTCTGCACTGCACAGTGAAAGATCACTATCATATAGACAGTAAAACTTGTTTTATTTTCAGTGTCTAATGTTAAAAATTTTCATTTTGCTGTGATCTTGAAATAATTGCTGAAATGTTGCTGGGCCTGTCCTTTTTCTTGTTATCATATTCCTGTTGACACAATCTCTCATCTGTTGTTTCTATGTTGTTTCCTAAAGGTCAGCCCTCTGGTACCCAATGCAGGAACAACCAGCTGAATGATGCATTTGATGGAAATATATATGGTTAAACTGAATACCAATATTTGTATTTGGTATTTCAGCCTGAATGTTGTGCTGTACTGAAATCCATGTTTATGGGTTAAAATAGCTTTTCATCAATGAGTTCACCATTGTGAAATGGTTGGATAACAAGTGCTCTCCGTTCAAAAAACGTGTTCAGATGTTTTATGGTTCAAAGTTTGACAGTCTGAAAAGAGCATTTTGAACTGATGTGAACTAACAAACTAAAATGGAACATAACTGCCACTGGTTGCAGATTTGGTGCAAGGAAGTGTATTTGCTTTTCTTCAGTACATTAGAAAAAGTTTGTGGTGGCACTGTTATCCTTGCAATATATTTTTCAATGTAAATGGATGCCTTTAAATTTTTGTAATTAAATGTGATGTTGACCAAGTATTTTAGTGACTTGTACCATTTACCCACAGGGTTCAGTTGTTCTTGGAGATTCTCCAGCCTCAGAAGATTTAAGTCGGCTGCAAGTAGGCTCCCCAGAGAGTGGTACTTCTCCACCTCAAACTGAAATGAAAGCTAATGGTGCTGGTGTCAAGCTTGAGATGCCAGTCTGCAGTCATTCTTCACTGCCAAAAATTGTGGGTAAACAGGTATGATTCTTTAGCCCTATTTTTGAACTTTACTCATAAGGCTAATTTTCTTCTGAGATTAACGCTGAGATATCTGCAGTGTTTGCTGTTTAATCTGTCAGCAGCCATTACAATAGTTGTTGTACATTGGGATTGGTGAAACATTAAAGAATGTCATCGCAGTGATTGCTTCCAAAAGAAATTGTTGAGCAAACTAGATTTACTGAAATTTGTTCTTTCCACTTTCACAGTACTGTCTGTTTTTTTATTTTTTAGCATGTTTCGTGTTCCATTGTTACATTTGAAATAATATGAACTATTATCATCATCGATGGTCCTTCACAGATGAGGATGAGTCTCATCCACTCTCGTGGTGGATCCATAGGTGACTGTACAGATATGGCTACTGCAGGCTCTGTTACACTTGGGGCAGGTGGTGGTCACAGGAAGGGGTGGGTAGGGCGTTGGTGTGGCAGCGTGATCCTTGTGCTGTTTTCGCCTGGTTTCCTTTTCTTTCCCGATGGCAAGTCTCAAGGTGTTTGGCGCTTCCTGGATGCTCCTCCTCCACTTTGGGACTGTCTTGGGCCAGTGATTCCCAGGTGTCCGTGGGAATGCTGCATTTTGCCAGCAAAGGCCTTGAGGGTATCACTGAAGCATTTCCTCTGTCCACCTGGGGCTCATCTGTTTCGAAGCTGGGAGTAGAACACATGCTTGGAGAGTCTCGTGTAAGTTAGGTGGACAATGAGCCCAGCCCATCATAGCTGATCAAGGGTGGTCAGTGCCTCGATGCTGGGGATATTGACCTGGTAGAAGACGTTGGTGTTGGTGCGTCTTTCTTCCCAGCGGATTTGCAGGATCATGCATTGGTGGTAATGCCCCAGTGCCTTGTGGTGTCTGCTGTAGACAATCCACATTTCAGAGCCATATAGGAAAGCGGGAGTCATCACAGCTCTGTAAATAGTGATCTTGGTGTTAGATCTGATGTTGCTGATCTCGAACACCCTTTTCCTCAGGCAGCTGAAGTCTGCGCTAGCATGCTGGAGGTGATGCTGGATCTCTTCTTCAACAGCTGCTTTGGCTGACAAGACAATTCGAGATATTGGAAGTGGTCAAAGTTCTCTAAGCTCTCTCCACCCCTGCCCCATTCCAACATGGATCTTGAAGATCAGGGCTTTTCTCCACAATGCCAGGCCAGGTTGATGAAAGAGCTTCGTCTTGCGGATGTTCAGGGTGAGACCCATGCTCTCGTACGCTTCCGTAAAAGTGCTGACAATGGCCTGGAGCATGTCCTCCAGAGATTACTCATACACAAGCATCTGCGTAATGGAGCTGTATGACGCTGGTTGAGTGACTGGTTTTGGCTTGAAGGCAGCAGAGCTGAATAATTTCCCACAGGTTCTGTAAGTTAGCTCTACTCCAGTGGGGAGCTTGTCAATGGTGAGGTGAAGTATTACCGTAAGGTAGATCAAGAACAGTGTGGGATGGTGACACAGCCCTACTTGATACTAGTCCAAACAGGAAATGGGCCAGTGATGGAACTATTTGTTATAACCATGACTTCCATGTTGTCATGGAGTGGGCAAAGGATGGTGACAAACTTCATGGTGCAACCAAAGCGGAGAAGGACATTCCATAATGCTTCCGATTCAGTGTCAAAGGCCTTTGTAAGGTCGCAGAAGGCCATGTACAGCCACAGGGAAGAGACGTTTGAGAAGGACCTTGGCGATGACTTTTGCAATGGTTGACAGCAGGGAGATTCTCCTCAAGTTACCACAGTCTGATTTGTTCCCTTTTTTGAAAATACTCTCAACTGTGGCATCTCGGAGCTCTCCTGGAATGCTCTCCTCCTCCTAGATAAGGCAAACAAGGGTGTGTAGCCACAGCAGGAGCTCTTTGCCTCCGCACTTTGTTGCATCAGGAAGGATACCGTCTTGTCCAGCAGCCTTGTTGTTATTAAGCCAGCAGAGACAGCCTTTTCTACTTCGTGCAAGGTTGGGGAATTGTTGAGCTCGTGGCATGAAGTGCGCTGCATTGTGCGTTCAAGAACGCCCGGATCAACAATTGAGCCCTGGTTGAGGAGGTCTCCGAAGTGCTCCCCCTAGTGTTTTTTTTAAATGGCTTCTTTATCTTTGGTAAGAGTCACTCGTCCTTGGCCACAGTGATGTGGGGCCTTGGGTGTTTGGTCCATACGTGGTCTTGATAGCACAGAAGAAAACATGCATGTCATGGTTGTTGGCCATTTGTTGGGCCACCAGTGCTTTCTCTGCCCACCGCCTGTTCTTTATGACATGGGTTTTGTTTTTGTGCCTCTGCCTTCAGTCACCTGTAGGTCTTCCTGTTCTCTGAGCGTAAAACAACTCAAAAAATACAATGCACTTCTGGCTTAATACTTCCCAGATCTCATTATCATTTTCATCAGGTGTTTCCTGTTTGAGTGGTGGATGAGTTTTTGCAGGCATTGATGGTGGTAGTCTTAATAGCAGACCAGAGACTGTTGGGAATATGAGCTATATATGCATTGTGAACTACTCCTAATCATGCCCACCTCCAACTTCTTCATTTATATTCCTTTCTATGTTGCTTAAAACAACAAACTTTTTTTTTGGTAGTCTCTCAATGCCTTATGTGGAAGCACCAGAGCAGATGATCTAAATATTTAAAAACCAAACGTAAAACAAAAACTTAATTCTTTGTCTGTGAAAAGGCAAAATTTGTCCCTGATATGAATGAGTGTACTGTGCCCAACACTTAGCCAGCATACCACCAAAAGTTTTAGAAAGAACTAACGCATTGAAAATATGAACATAATTATTTTTTAATTTTTCTGTGAATAATATCATACTAGTATCATTGACCTTTGTTTGATAGGGGACATGCCTGGCCTTGCACAAAATCTCGGTAATTTATGCTGAGATTTGGTGTTTGCAGCAGAGAGCTGTTGCTTTGTCCATTGTCTACTGGAAAGTCATACACAGCACATGTTACTAGACCTAAATGTTTAATTTCAATGATCAGTAAATGAACAGCATAATCATGACACACGTGGTGATTAGCCTAAATTCTGAAACCAAAATACCACTCGTTCACTTTCTAAATGTGGAATTTTTCTTGTCATTTGCGACTGGAGGTGGGAAACCCTGGTAAACACGCTTATAGTGTGCCCATAGGAACAAGAGTGGGCCATTCAGCCCCTTGAGCCTGTTCCCACCATTCACTGGGATCTGTGGCCTAACTCTATGTACCTATCTTTGGCCCATATCCATTAATGTGTTTGTTTCGCAAAAATTTATCTATCTAAGATTTAAAAGCAACAACTGATCCAGCATCCATTGCCGTTTGTGTAAGACAGCTCCAAACAACTACCATCCTTCTATGTATGGAAGTGCTTCCTAACATCTCTCCTGAACAGTCTAGCCCTAAATCTCAGACTATATCCCCTAGTTTAGAATCCCAACCAGTGAAAATAGTTTAACATTAGCTGCACTGTCTTTTCTGTTAATATCTTGAAGACTTTATTCAGGTCACTCCTTAACTTCCTAAATTCTAGAGAAAACAGGCCTGATTTGTATAGTCTTGCCCCATAATTTAACCCCTGAAGCCCAAGTGTTATTGTTGTAAATTTACACTGGACTCCCTCCTCGGCCAGTGTGTCCTTCCTAAGTTATGGTGCCCAGATCTGCTCTCACTACTTCAAGTGGGATCTAACTAGGGTTTTGTGTAACTACAGCATAACGTCTGCATCCATATACTTCTGTCCTCTAGTCATAAAGGCCAGCATTCCATTAGTTTTATTGATTATTTTCTGCAACTGTTTTAAATCTATGGAATCTATACAGTCTGTAGATTTCATCTTTATAATCTATTGATCTATGCACCCGAATTCCCAGACTCTGTGTCCACTGTATTTAACTTCATACCATCGAGAAAGCACCCCAATCTATCCTTTCTACTTCTAAACTGGCTCACATTGAATCCAACTGCTCCAATTTTGCTCATTCATTTATGCTCTCATCCACACTGACTACAACACTTTGTGTACTGTACGCAACATCTGTTACAGGTTTAGTTCCTTTACTGTTCCTCAGTTTCATCCATTATGGTCTCTACTGAATGATTTTGCCTCATTATATCCTCATCATTGAAGTAGTTTTGTAAGGCTATTTCAACTCTGCCATTTTTCCTGTCCATCCTTGAAATCTTATAACCTGGGATGTTTATTCCTAGCTTTAGTTGTCTTGCATCCATGTCTCAGTAATAACTACTCTGATAATCTGCAATTTGAATTTGTGCCTGCCACTCAAGTAATTTATTGCTGTACTCTGTGTATTCATGTATAGAACTCAACTTTGGGTCAAACACCATACCCTGTTCCTCAGCACCGATGCTTTAATCCCTGTTTATTATTTCTATCTTCTGATTTAATCAATACACTTCTTATAGTTTTGTGATTACCTTCCACACCTGAAGATGGTTTTGTTATTGTTCCGTTCTTCAAGTCCATTTGCCAAACTTTCTCTTTCTGAACTTTTTAACTGCAGTCTCTTTTATTATTGATCTTTTTTTTAATTTCTTTGGCTTCTATTGTGTCTAAACTGTATAAATTTTGCCATTAACTATATCCTACTTTTTACTTCATTTTAATTAATTTCCCCAGGTGATGATTTTCTTTCCTCCCCTTGTTCATGCTCACCCTTTTTAAATTGCTGTCATATGTAATATCTTGCAGCATTGATAATGAATTTACACACGTGTAACATTGGACAGATCAAGTGCTTCCATATTTCAGTGCAAACCTTTAACTGGTACACAGATAATGTTAACAAAACAGGAGTTTCTCAAATTATTCTCTGTTAATAGTTGATACTAAAAGTTTACAAATATCTGCACAGTTGTTACTGTTTTTCTGTGGGTGTGCAAGGGAGACTAATTATGCATTTATACTTTTTACTTATACTGTGGACTGCCTCCTATCATTATCTTGCCTTCCTCATACCTTCAGAAGGCATGGCTCCAGCACCTGGCTGAAGAGACCGTTTATTCTCACTCTGGTTAGACTAGAAATATTTGGTGCCCATTTTTTAGGCTGACGCTTTCTGCACCGAGCAGAAAAGGTAGTTGAAAAAACCTCATTAACTTGCTTGACCTGACTTACCCTCAAGAATGGAACTGTTGACAGCACGTGTTCTAAAAGTTTATAATAAATCCCTTGCATTTAGTGGCACAAGATAGAAACTGCATCTGGCCGTTGCTACCATGTTCGAACTTTTAAAAAATCAGAGATGGGGAACATTACTAAAACCCACTAGTCAAAATAATGAAGAGTTTTATAAAACTGTACTGTCAAATAGACATGAGATTAAATCTGGAAGTAACTTTGGAATTGTTCTGGTAATGTCTAGGTAATGTGTTGAGCATTACTTTTAAAATCGAAGAAAATGCAGCGATCTGTAGTCAGGACACTGGAATACTGAGATTCATCAATACGTGGCTAGGCCATATCCTGGAACAGTGTTGTGATGCTGCAAAGAAAAATCTTTGGGAGAAAAAGTTACTTGTGCAGAAGATGGTATTTTGTTGTACAACAACAGAATGAACATGCTGAATTATCAAAGGCACAGTTAGTCTCTGCTACACCACTTCTTTTATGTTTAACTTCCAGATTATTCCCCCTATTGACCCTCTAGAAAGTGTGACATCTTGTTCCACATCAACTGAATCTGTACCAACAAAGCCCTGCAGTAACCTTAAGCCTGTCAATGGAGTGGTCAACAGGTAAGATATTGTTTAATATTGGGACTTGGGTTCCAGGATGCCATTGCACTATAAACGATGTAGATCTTGAACTTGTCATATTAAACAAAAACGTGGTATGATCATAAAGGAATGGTTAGGCTTGATGTGAATGAATTATTTATTCTAAATTTGATTGTAGGATGAGAGAGCTTGCCAAACCTGAAGCAGCAATAGAAAGGTGGCAAGAAAGATATGGATTGGGGTAAGACACATTTAAATAAAATGTCAGGATCTGCTTGAAGAAGACTGGAATCAGCTTCTTGAGGGTAAATCTACAGCAGAACAGTGGGAGGTATTCAAAAAGGTACTCAGTGGGTACAGCCCCAATACTTTGCTTCTACATTTCATCCTGAAGGGAATGCAGAGAGCCTTGCATATGTAAGGAATATTCAGGACTGTATAAAATGAGACATATAACAGGTACATAGGAGTGAAACAAGTGACACCTTAGAGGAGTATAGGAAGTACGGGGGTAGTCTTGGGAAACCAATTTGGAGAAGCAAGAGGAGGCATGAGAAAACACTGGCAGGCAAGATTATGGAGAATCCCAAGATATCCTACAAGTATCAAGGGGAATAAAATAACCAGAATAAGAGTAGAGCCCGTCAGCATGATGATGATGCCAGAGATCATTAGAAGAGTATTAAAAAGGTACTTTGCATCTGCCTTACTCTGGAGAAGGAGAATGGACTACATTCCACTGTTCACTTTGAAAGCAGAAACAAGGCAGATTACTACCTAAATGGCTGTAAATCTGGAGAGGGGAGTGTGCAGCAGGACCTGGGCATCCTTACGCACCAGTCACTGAAGGTAAGCATGCAGGTGCAGCAGGCGCTAAAGAAGGCAAATGGTATGTAGGCCTTCATTGCAAGAGGTTTCGAGTGTAGGAGCAGAGATGTGTTGATGCAGTTGTACAGGGCCTTGGTGCGACCATACCTGGAATACTATGTGCTGTTTTAGTCTTCTTTCCTGAGGAAGGATGCTCTTGCTCTCGAGGGAGTGCAGCAAAAGTTACCAGGCCGATTCTAGGGATGACAGGTCTGATTATATGAGGAGAGATTGACTAGATTGGTTCGCAATAAACAACTGCACCTCCCAGTCGCGAACCATTTCAATTCCCCCTCCCATTCCTCAGACGACATGTCCATCCTGGGCCTCCTGCAGTGCCACAACGATGCCACCCGAAGGTTGCAGGAACAGCAACTCATATTCCGCTTGGGAACCCTGCAGCCCAATGGTATCAATGTGGATTTCACAAGTTTCAAAATCTCCCCTCCCCCGACCGCATCCCAAAACCAGTCCAGCTCGTCGCTGCCTCCCTAACCTGTTCTTCCTCCCACCTATCCCCTCCTCCCACCTCAAGCCGCACCTCCATATCCTACCGACCAACCTCATCCCGCCCCCTTGACCTGTCCGTCCTCCCTGGACTGACCTATCCCCTTCCTAACTCCCCACCTACACTCATCTTTACTGGCTCCATCCCCGCCTCTTCGACCTGTTTGTTTCCTCTCCACCTATCCTCTCCTCTATCCATCTTCTATCCGCCTCCCACTCTCTCCCTATTTATTTCAGAACCCCCTTCCCCTCCCCCTTTTCTGATGAAGGGTCTAGGACCGAAACGTCAGCCTCTCTGCTCCTATGATGCTGCTTGGCCTGCTGTGTTCATCCAGCCCTGCACCTTGTTGTCTCTTGACTGGGTTGGGATTGTCTTCGCTGGGGTTCAGGCGAATGAGGGGGGATCTCATAGAACATAGAACAATACAGCACAGCACAGTACAGGCGCTTCGGCCCACGATGTTGTGCCGAACTTTTAACCTAGTCCTAAGGTCTATCTAACCTCCACCCCCTACCTTATGCTATCATCCATATGCTTATCTAATAGCCGCTTAAATGCCCCTAATGAGGCCGACTCCACTACCCTTTCCGGCAATGCATTCCACGCCCCGACCACTCTCTGAGTAAAGAACCTACCTCTGATGTCTCCCCTATGTGTACCTCCACTCACTTTAAAACTATGCCCCCTCGTAATAGCTACCTCCACCCTAGGAAAAAGTCTCTGGCTGTCCACTCTGTCTATACCTCTGATCATTTTGTACACCTCTACCAAGTCACCTCTCATCCTTCATCGTTCTAAAGGGAAAAGCCTAGCTCTCTCAACCTTTCCTCGTAAGACCTTCCCTCCATTCCAGGCAACGTCCTGATAAATCTCCTCTGTACCTTTTCCAACGCTTCCACATCTTTCCTGTAATGAGGCGACCAGAACTGGACACAGTTCTCCAGATGTGGCCGAACCAGGCTTTTGTATAGCTGGAGCATAACTTCACGGCTCTTGAACTCAGTCCCTCTATTAATGAAAGCTAACACACCATATGCCTTCTTAACAACTCTATCCACCTGGGTGGCAGCTTTGCAGGAACTGTGGACATGAGCCCCAAATCTCACGCCGACTTATAAAATTATAACAGGACTAGACAGGGTAGATACAGGGAGGATGTTCCCGATGGTGGGTGTGTCCAGAACCAGGGGTCACAGTATGAGGATTCAGGGTAGACTATTTAGGACGGAGATGAGGAGACATTTTTTCACCCAAAGAATGGTGAGCCTGCGGAATTAATTACCACCGGAAGTAGTTGATGCCAAAACATTGAAAGTATTCAAGAGGCGACTAGATATAGCACTTGGGGCCAATGGGATCAAAGCTTATGGGGAGAAAGTAGGGTTAGGCTATTGAGTTGGACGATCAGCCATGATTGTGAAGAATGGAGGAGCAGGCTAAAAGGGCTGAATGGCCGCCTCCTGCTCCTATCTTTGTCTGTTTCTATGAGATTGCTTAGGAGATTGTGGAGGTGATCTTTCAGGAATCACTGGAGTTGGGGAGGGTCCCAGAGGATGCAAATGGCGAATGTAACACCCCTGTTTAAGAAGAGAGGAAGACAGGAAATTATAGGCTGGTTAACCTGATGTTGGTCGATGGCAAGTTTCAGAGTCCATTGTTAAGGACGAGATTGCGGAGTTCTTGAAAGTGCATTGTAAAATAGAGCTCAGTCAGTACAGCTTCATCAAGAGGAGGTCATGCCTCACAAATCTGTTAGAATTCTTTAAGGATGTAATGAGCAAGTTAGGCAAAGGAGATCCAATGGCCATGGTCTATTTGGATTTCCAGAAGGCCTTTGACAAGGGTGCCGCTCAGGAGGCTGTTAAATAAAACAAGAGCCCCTGGTGCTAGGGACAAAGTACTGGCATGGATGGAGGATTGGCTGACTGGCAGAAGGTAGAAAGTGTGGATAAAGGATTCTTTCTCGGGATGGCAGCCAGCCTCGAGTTCTGCAGGGATCTATCAGAGCCACAATGATTTACATTATACATTAACGATCTGGATGAAGGAACTGAGGGCATTGTTGTTAAGCTTGCAGTTGACGCAGGATGAGTGGAGGGACAGGTAGTGTTGAGGAAGTTAGGACGGTGCAGGAGGATTTGACCAGGCTAGGAGAGTGCGCAAAGAAGTGGCAGGTGCAATATCCTGTGGGAAAGTAAGAGATTATGTACTCTGGTTGAAAGAATAGAGGTGTAGACTAATTTCTAAATAGGGAAAGGCTTTGGAAATTTGAAGCACAGGGACTTGAGGGATCCTACTTCAAGATTCTCTTAAGGTTAACATGCAGATTGAGTTCGCAAATAGGAAGAAAAATGCAATGTCAGCATTCATTTTGAGAGGGTGAGAACACGAGGAGGGAAGTACTGCTGAGGATATGTAAAGTCAGACCACATTTGGAATACTGTGAACAGCTTAGGATGCCATATCAAAGGAAGGATGTGCTAGTGTTGGAGGGGATCCAGAGGAGGTTCACAAGAATGATCCCAGGGATGAAGGACTTGTCATTGTGAGGAGTGGTTGTCACAAACCCACTCAAGTCGACCTACAACCCTGATTACGCTGAGAGACTTTGCCTTCGCACCTCTTGCAAGTTCCTGAATCATCTCGTACAAAATCTCTACAGAAAGCACCGTAACCTTGAAATTGAGATAGAATCCATATTCTCAGCTCCCACACATACTGTAGCAGTACAGTTACAAGACACTGCCAAACAGATGAGGCAGTGGAACTACACCACTTACATGCACACTGAAAGCAAGAAGCTGGAGAAACTTAGCATCACGACCAGCAATAACCAAATCTTCCCCTGGTACCACAGTTGAAAGCGGCACCACCATGGGAAATTTATTTTAAGCTTGTTTGACCACATCTTCAAATGGTCGAGATCGAAGTTCATAGCTGAGGACTCAATTTCTGCGCCACCACCAAAATGGACCCCATTGGTTTCGGGGCAGACACAGAGGAATTCATCAGACAAATGAGACTCTGGAAATTCTTCCAAGATGTCAGCAGCGAGCCCAACGAGACAACCAACAAATCGGATCAGTCGACAGAGAGATCCATGGGGGGATGGGCAAAGGAGGAGTCAAATTGGACCCTTCCGGGGGCCACTGCCCAGGGCTTGACAGGTATGCTCAAGTGATCAGAACATGTGGATGCCAGATTCATCAACCACACTCACAAGGTAGTGCAAAACGTCACCCAGGCACAACATAATGCCATCCATGCTCTCAAGGCCAATCACAGCATTGTCATCAAACCAGCAAAGGAGGAACCATCTTCATACAGAATAGAACGGACTATTGCAAGGAAGTTGAATAACCACGACAGCTGAATAACCAGGAACACTACAGACAACTACCTGCTGATCCGACCAAAGAACACACCTGTCAACTGAACAGACTGGTCACGACTTTTGACCAAGTCCTTCACAGTACCCTACGCACTCTCATCCCATGTACTTCCCGTGGAGGGGACTTCAGCTGCTTTCCAAAGATACACAAAGCCAACACACGTGGACGTCCAGTTGTATCAGCCAATGGGATCTTGTCTGAGAACCTCTCTGGCTATTTTGAGAGCATCTTGAAACCCATTGTACAGGGAA